AGAGGTGGATCGCGGAGGAGCGAGGGGTAGGTCCAATTTAAGCCGAGCCCACAACGCAAAAATGCTTCCGAAGGCGCACTGGCTTGGTTCATTAAATGGAACCCAATAGCGGTTGTTTGCGTTGCCAGACAGCGAATCCGTCGCAAATTGAATGCCATATTGCATACGTTCCGCCCATGATTCCTATGCAACCGTGTTGCCGTACTTTCACCGTAAATAAATGCCCGCTCAATTATGCTTCCAATTTAGAAAAAATTAACGGATTTAATATACCGATAAATATGGGATAAAACTTAAGCGTTTCGGAATAGATTTACAGCCAACGACTCGACTAATCGTTCGAAATTGTACGGACAGAGTTTCGAACATCCGGTTTCTCCGTGAAACCGCCTACCGGACCAACACGATCGGAACGATCTGGGACTTTAACAACTTTTTCGCAAAAAATCTACGAAACTGTCCTAGCTAAAGTAGGAAGCTAAAGAAATTCGCGTTTTCATCGAATTTTCGTTAATCGTTTTACTGAAAATACCGAAAAAACCGAATAAACCGAAAATAATGATTTCTACCACGTAAAACCATTTATTACTCGATGTAGCCACTGTTCTTCAGAGCCGGTTTATTAAAACAAGGAGACACTCGATAATCTGCTTTTTAAATTGAACGATAAATATCACCTTATAGCGTATTGCATATTTTTTCGATCGTCTCTTCGAACGACCAATCGAAAAATAAAATATATAGATGAAAAGAAAGTTTTTGATCGATAATTATCTGTCTGCTGAAGCCTCGCGTTTGTACGCGATCCCAGAAGATTGGTCGAACATCGCGCGGATACGGAGCACGGTTAAAACGCAATTATCGACACGCTCCGGTGCATCGACCCTCTGACAGACCGCGGTCGTACCGCGCTGTCAAAATAGATAACGCGCGGGGTAAGTCACCCCGAAGTTAAAACCGTTCCTGCAACGCGCGCACTATAGGTCCATTCACTTTGGGTTAACGTCGACAAAGGGTGTGTGTGCCAGGGACAACGCGGGGGCAGGGTAGTTACAGGAGGACCATGATACACCCTGCGCGCACGTTTCGCTACTCGTGGACATAGTTAGGGGTTGATATTGCCTCCACGTTGTCACGGTTGATTAACATAAACGATTCGAGCGCAACGTTTTCCTAACTTCCTCCGTCACCGTTCCTTCAAAATATCATCGACTCTGTTCACTGTTTTTTCATTTCTTTAATCGATCGCACTCGTTTTTCGAGCAGTCGAATAAAATGTCGCGTATTACGTTCGAAATCGACTACTCGTTTGTACGACTATGCCCTTTTGCGAATATCCGTGTCGCTGTCCGAACGGGTACGACACGAAACTGTTCCGTGACAAGTACGGATAATATAAATCTACATTTATACAGCTATTCTTTATTGCTGCTCCTCGTCTTTCGACGATAAGTGTGCTCGATCCCGGTTTACAAGGCGCAACACCGTTGTTCGCGATGCGGTCGCATGCACCGTCATGGAACATGCACGGTGTCGCACATGCATTCGGCAAATCAGTTCCCACGTACCGTAAACGACCAACACCGCCATTAAACAAATCGATACGCGACGCTACCATTCGCGCAACGGAAGTTACCAAGCAATCTCCTCTTCTGGCTCGCGTCGCTGTTGGTCGCCGTGAAATTTTTCTCTTCCGCTGCGTCGATCGAATCGAATCGCGTAACCTCCAGTTAAATCTCGAATAACTGGCGACTAACGCTTTATTCTATCCTAAGATCAGGGACAAAGGTTGTCGGTGGAAATTTACTCGGCATTTCGGTACGATCCGAGATCGCGAGCTTCCTTCTCCAGGAATCTCCGATGTTAGGAGTTGACGGGGCGAGCAGACCGAGACAAAGCCCTCCGAAGATAGCGAGCGCGATCGAGAATCGTGTTACGAGGAACACGCGTACCGGGACCGTTGCGTTGTATCGAGACATCGCGGGGATCCCATGCATTCCGCGATCTTGCATTACAATTGCTAATAAACGCCCTTCCCTTCACCGGTTCCCCTGTACCTTCGACTTCTCTCTCCGGACTACGTTTCTCCGTTCGCCGTCGCTTCTCTTCCGAATTTAGGAAAGCAGAACGAACCAGCGGCCGATGCTTCCTTCGAACGAACGGAGTTTGTCGGGGAAAACTTTGTCTCGTTGGTATTCCTTTACATTTGAAAGCGGTAATTTATGCACTCGTCCAAGTGAAACGGAATGCAACACCGCGACGCGACACTCGAGAGACGACGAGCGAGAAAAGAAGAGGAACAAATGTCGCCATTACAATAAACGCGTTAGCATGCAAACATTGTCTGTTATACGTTCGCTAGAACGAGCAATCTCTCGGGTGTTAACTCCCCGCGCTTACGCCGTACACCGGAACAATAATCGGTCAACTATCCAGTAGGATTCTTCAAGTACGTTCACCGATAGATCGTAGAAGTTGTTACCTAGATCGTAGGGTACCTTCTGCCTCGACTTGGCCGATTCGAAGAATCGAGATTGAACGATCGACGAAGAAGAGCGAAATGAATCGTCGATCGATACGTCCCTGGGGCCCCGCGAGGTAAACGCATCGGTGCGGCACGGGGTGTAGCTACTTACCATACTCCCAGTATACCAAAGTCCCGCGGCCGACTCGCTCCGCGGCAGATAGCAGTCGCTAGTACAGCACGCTTCTCAACGGAGAGACGGAGAAACGAAGAAAGGTCCGGTCCCTATCGCGAAAATGGCAGGAAATCCTCGCGACGGACGATCGGTCGAGGATAAAAGAACATCGAGTCGCGCGGCGGACTTACGAGCGTGCGTGATTTCGAACGGGGGG